AAGCAGCGAGGTTCACAATCAGAGCTGTGCAATAGCTGCACAAGCTGGGCTGGGTGCTGCTATTATTACTATGGATCATCGCACAGTCAGCCAGATGTTCAGACTGGATTTGGCATTTTGTCTACCTATCGAGTCCTTACCCAGGACCTGGGATAGGCAGATGTGGATGTTTGATGGTATTACAGATATCGTCGCAGGATGGAAGCAGTTCCTAATAAGGCCGCCTTTTGCAATTGACTAATAGCGAATTTGTCAATGCCAATGGTGTTCAAGTGGTGCTCCAGTTGTTTTGGGATTGCACCCAAGGCGCCTATGACTATTGGTACTACCCTTGCTTGCTTTTGCCACAGTCTTTCTATTTCTATTTGTAGGTCTTTGTATTTTGTTATCTTCTCCAGCTCTTTCTCTTCTATTCTGCTGTCTCCAGGCACTGCCACATCCACTATCCAAACTTTTTTGTCTTTCTTATCGACAATTGTTAAGTCTGGGGTGTTATGTTGCAGGCGCTTGTCTGTTTGAATTATTATTATTATTATTATTATTATTATTATTATTATTATTATTATTATTATTATTAAGCTCTCAATATGCCCAGGGGGATTGGCCTTCAGCTGAGAAGGCTTTCCAGCTGTCACTTCTGTTCCTGTCTTTTGGGTTGTCAGCAAGATCCAGCAATCATTCGGGAAAGCTTGCCTTAAAATGCGCTGCCTTCCACGGGCGTGGGGGGGGGGCAGCCAGAATAGAGCTGGAAGGGACCATGGAAGTTTTCTAGTCCAACTCTCCGCAACTTCTTGTGGCAAGCTGTTCCCCTGGTTAATTATCTCACTGTCAGGAAGTTTCTCCTTAATTCCAGGTTGCTTCTCTCCTTGACGAGTTTCCATCCGTTGTTTCTTGCCTTGCCTTCTGGTGCTTTGGAGAATAGCTTGACTCCCTCTTCTTTGGGGCAGCCCCTCAAATGCTGGAACACTGCTATCATGTCACCCCCTCCCCCAGTCCTTCTTTTCTCTAGACTGGCCATACCCAGTTCCTGCAATTCTTCATCTCTCCAGGCCTTTAGTTCCTCTACTCTGCACTTTTGTTGCGTGGTGTTGGATGGTTACTATCTCAAGCAGGTTTAGGAGAGAATCCTCTAATGGGCTGGAGACAAGGGGAGCTGCAGAGTTTGGAGAAGGTTGATTTGAATAACCCTGGAAGGAGAAAGACTATGAAAAGCCAGCTACTGGGTTATGCCATTGATCCAGAGCCGTGGTGGCGAAGTAGTTAGAAGGCAGCACTGCAGGCTGACTCGCTGCCCACTGCCCGCAGTTCGATCCTAACCGGCTCAAGGTCGACTCGGCCTTCCATCCTTCCGAGGTCGGTCAAATGACCCAGATTGAGGGTGGCCAAATATGCTGACTCTGTAAACTGCTTAGAGAGGCTGTAAAGCACTGTGAAGTGGTATATAAGTCTTATTGCTTGGGAAGGAGGGAAGGAAAGAAGGAAGGAAGGAAGGAAGGAAGGAAGGAAGGAAGGAAGGAAGGAAGGGAGGGAGGGAGGAAGGAAGGAAGGAAGGAGAAGGAAGGAAGGAAGGAAGGAAGGAAGGAAGGAAGGAAGGAAGGAAGGAAGGAAGGAGGGGGAAGGAAGGAAGGAAGGGAAATAAAGAGAAGGAAGGAAGGAAGCCATGGTGGTGCGGTGGTTAGAATGCAGCATTGCAGGCTAAACTCTGCCCACTGCCAGCAGTTCGATCCTGACCAGCTCAAGGTTGACTCAGCCTTCCATCCTTCCGAGGTCGATAAAATGAGGACCCAGATTGTGGGTGGCCAAATATGCAGACTCTGTAAACCACTCAGAGAGGGCCGTAAAGCACTGTGAAGCGGTATATAAGTCTTAAGTGCTGTCGCTATCTACTTTACCCAGAATAACTTCCTCTGACTGGCAGCTACTCCAAAGTTTCCAACTGATTGCAACAGATGCTGCTTGGAAATCTCACCCGCTCAATTTGAAACTGGCTGCCGGGAGAAGCAGCCCGTAATCTTTTTCTGTCGATTACCCCAGGCTTTTAACTCCCCGACGGTTTAGCCATGCTGTCGTTCGGAAAGTCTGCCCCCAACTCCCCAACTTCATTTCTCTTTCCTGAATTAGGGCATTCTGAAACGTAGAGAGCCTAAAGAGCAACTTAGGGGAGCAAACAGCTGCTTGTAGAAGATTTGGGGATCGGAAAGAGAGAAAAAGTGGTGCCAGGCAGAGAACCCGGGGGGGGGGACAGGCTGCGGTTCCAGAATAATCCCTGGGATTCAAGGCCAGGCTCCCCCTTTTATCCAAGGGAGCAGCATCCTCATGAAGCACAATAGATTCCTTTTGGGGTGTCTGTCTGTGTGTGTCTTTGAAGATGTTCTCGGGTTGGCGTACCCGTCCGGGGTCCCCGTCGTGTGGCGGCCCCGGGGCTCATTTCGTTCTCGCGATTGTGTTATTATTATTATTTTTTTTCCCCTGTCTGGAATTTTCTAGGTCCCGGGGGGAAGGCACGAGCTAGATATGCAAAGAACGGCCATGAATATTCAATGCACAAAACCCACTTTGCAGTCATGGATTATTTATATAGGGAAGAACGAAAGTGTCATAAATAATAGAGCAGAAGTGATCAGAGCGGAGGCGGTTTTTATGCACCCCCCCCCTTCTCCAAGAGAGAGAGATGTGTTGATCTAAGGTCTGCAAAAAGGCCTAGTCTGTCACGGCCTTGTAAAATCAGGAGGGGGGGGGGCGGGCGGTGAAGGCAAGCTTGATCAGGCTGGCTAACTGAGCCTTCACCTTTTGCAAAAAAGGGGACCACCTTCACCTCTGCAGATCTGGGGCCAGTAACCAGGTGAAGGGAAGATTTTAGGATGTTGGCGAGGTTTCCCCTCCACCCCCCACCCCCCAGTTGTCAACATTTCTGTGCATCCAAAGACAGTCGGAGATTTTATTTTATTAACAAGGGAGAAAGGTGAACGAAAAAAAAAAACCCTCTCTTTAGAAAAACATTCAGGTATAAACAGACAGAACTCTTGGAATATTTCTTCCAACAGGCATCCTTTATTAAGAGAAAATGGTTGCAGGCATTCTAGACAGGACCTGGGGCCCAAGCCCTATGGTTCAAGGTTTTAAGGGGTTCCCAGCAGCCCCACCCCACCATCCTTCCAGGGACAATCCCAGGCGTTACATTTCCACCCCCTTTTTCCTCACTGCCGGCGGAAGGGAGACTTCAGAGGGGAGTAGATGAAAGCTGACAGCCCCATTGTTATGGTTAGTCCTTTTGGTGGTACCCACATTCAGTCCCTTTTGAAGTTGTACCGAAGGAAGTGAGGGCCATAAAGCCCCTTTGTTCACCCCCCTTTCCCTTCGTCCTATGACAGAATCCAGAGAGGGCAGAAATGGGGTTTTCCATAGTCGATAACTAGAGATGAAATATAATTGGATTCTGACACCAGGATGAAAAGAATTCAGGTTTGTTTGCTTTTGATTGGTTTTTTTAAAAAACAAAAACAAAACATAGCTGGAAGGAAGCAGGAAGAAAACAGCCTATCCCAGAAGGCTGTTTTAAAAATCCATCAGGGAAAATAACACGGGCCACGCTTACTGCCGTCAAAAACACTACTTTTTTTTTTTTTTTTTTACACTTACAATACTTTGGGAACTGGGACCCAGAAGCTCTTTGAGACTGCTCTCCAACTCCCTTAACTGCTTTTGGGGATATCTAAAGCATCTGGGGAGCGTTATGCCGTTTGTTTTTTTTAAAAAAGCACCATTAATCCTTCCCTTTCATTCTTACGCTGGCTGAACACCCGCAGCCGGCTGTGAATGCGAAGGCAAAGCACTACGATCACCCAGATTCAGAAAGGAGGGCAGTTCTCGGCTTTCTTTTCCCACTTCCCTCCTTTTTGCAAGATTTCAGAAGCCAAGATGGAGTTCCTTTGAGAGGAGGGAGGAGGGAGGGGTGAAAAGATTTACCAGAGAGTCAACAGATGAATGTAACAGCATGTTAAGCCCTTGCATCCAGCGGGACTCTCGGCATAAATGTGGCATAGTACCGCACGGTCCCACGCAGGGTTCCACGTCAAACTGCAGATCACATTGTGACCGGCTATCAGCTGAGAACATACACCAGTCGTGTATTTGATATATTTTTTAATATAAACGATGCTGCACTTCAGTGGTTACATGGCCTAGACATTGATATTTGAACATAGATCTTTTTTATCGTTTATGTTTTATTGGGTTCTAGTAATCTAATTGAAATGTTAATATATATTGCTAGTCCATGTACAATATTGTGTGCTTAAATATGAGTTATTGACTAGGAATGGAATAAGAATAGAACAGAACAGAACAGAATAGAATGCAGAATAGAGTAGAATAGAATAGAATGCAGAATAGAGTAGAATAGAGTAGAATAGAATAGAATAGAATAGAATAGAATAGAATGCAGAGTAGAGTAGAGTAGAGTAGAATAGAATAGAATAGAATAGAATGTAGAATAGACTAGAATAGAATAGAATACAATAATAAAATAAGGAATGGAATAGAGTAGAATAGGAATAGACTAGACTAGACTAGACTCGACTAGACTAGACTAGACTAGACTAGACTAGAATAGAATAGAATAGAATAGAATAGAATAGAATAGAATAGAATAATAAAATAAGGAATGGAATAAAATTGAATAGAATAGAAAATAGACTAGAATAGAATAATAAAATAAGGAATAGAATAGAATAGAATAGAATAGACTAGACTAGAATAGACTAGAATAGAATAGAATAATAAAATAAGGAATGGAATGGAATAGAGTAGAATAGAATAGAAAATAGAATAGAATAGAATAATAAAATGAATAGAATAGAATGCAATGCAATGCTGTGCAGGGATGTCTTGAGGGAAGGACTTGAAACAGTTTATGTCCAGGATGTGAGAAGGGGTCTGTAGATAAGTCACCATTGGCAGCCCCTGATATAACCCAACACTATATGTCATGGGCTTTGCAGGAGAGAACAGCATTTGGAATTGGGCCTGAAAAGGTCTGGCAAACAACAAAGACATTGCAGAAGAAGCATTATCCTGGCATGGAAAGCTGGCCATGGTACCCCAGACCCATCACAGTGGCCTAGTTGTCTGAGAAGCACACCTGGCCTGAATCAAGTCGTTGGAATACAGCTCCTGGAATTCCCATCCAGGTAAGGAAAGACTTCCAATCTCTCAGGGGCTGCCCCAAAGAAGAGGGGGTCAAGCTCTTCTCCAAAGCACCTGAAGGCAGGGCAAGAAGCAACAGATGGAAACTAACCAAAGAGAGAAGCAACCTGGAACTAAGGAGAAACCTCCTGAGAGTCAGAACAATTAACCAGGGGAACAACCTGCCTCCAGAAGTGTTTTTAAGTGCTCCAACACTTTTTAAGAAGAGACTGGACATCCATTTGTCTGAAATGGCGTAGAGTTTCCTGCCTGCGCAGGGGGTTGGACTAGAAGCTCTCCGAGGCCCTTTCCAGTTCTGTGATTCTGACTGTTCACACGTGACCCCTGAGAGCTTGAGGTTGGGCTGTTCCTTTCTTCAGCCATGGGTTAAAAGGGTTGGGGTGGACCTTGGAGTCCGCTGCTGTATTCGCACTCCGTCGGATGCGGAGAGAAATGGGAGGGGAGAGAGAGATCAAAGGTGGAACCGTGTAAGCCAGCGGTTCTCCACCTGTGGGTCGGGACCCCATTTGGGGTCGAAGGACCATTTCACGGGGGTCGCCAAACAACGCAGTCCGCCATTTTTTTCCTCCCTTTTCCTTAGCTGTGCTACTCCCTTTTATTCTATTGGCCTTTGAAAGCCAATAGAATAGACTCTCTTGAATAGAGTCTAATTCTATTGGCTTTCCAAAGCCAATGGGAATTGTCCAGGCTGTCTCTGCCCTGCTGAGCCCGCCAAAAGTCCCCTTCTGCAAACGGTGCTGCACAAGTTGAGTAGTCCTCGACTTACGACCGGTTGAGTAGTCGTCGACTTACGACCGGTTGGGGGTCGCGGCATTAAAAAGGTTGAGAACCACTGGTGTAAGCTAATCGGATCGCTGAAAGCTTTGACTGACAAGGTGGGCTGGCGAAGGTCATCTACAATGAGGCTGGATGAAAAATAAGTTTCTGCGCACACAGGAGAATCTTTGGAGAGTGTAATTTCACCGCCAGGATGAACAGAGTGAGGCTGTTTCTCTAAATTTCAGGGATATTCAGGCGTGGCCTTTTGACTTCTGCATTTTGCTCAGATAATAAACTTTCCACCCTGAGCATTTTTTTTTTGTCGCTAAATTCTTGTGGCTGTGAGCAGAGCGTTTTCTCTCTCTCTCTCTCTCAGCGGCCAGCAGTTACTCCCCGTAATGCAGATGGGTGACTTTTGAGAGCTGGTGGCGATGAGCAGCTGAATGTAGCGGCATGTGCTCCAAACTCTCGTTGGAAATCAAAATTTCCACAAAGCACTTCTTTCTGCTGGTTCTACGGAACAAAGTTGGGAGGATAATGCCTTGCAAATAAGTACATAAACATCTTGCCATTCTTCTGGGGTTGTGCATGCCTTTGTAAACGACATACTTGATTTTTTTTTCATTTATTTATTTCTCTTGGAGTTGTCAGCTGCTTTGAACCAAACAAGATTTCTCTGGAATAGTGCGGATTGCGGTCCCCGGAGGGTGGTGAGGAAAATGGCCTTGCGAAAGAAACACAAGACACAAGAAAGCAGCGTAGCGGAGCTGCAGTGCCGTTTTCTACTCCCGTTCCCGCTTGTAGGAGTGAATACCACAATAAAGGAATAACCGAGCGGGAAGGGACCTTGGAGGTCATCTAGTCCAACCCCCTGCTCCAGCAGGAGACCTGATGCCATTTCAGACAAATAGGTGTCCAGTCTCTCCTTAAGAGCCTCCAGTGATGGAGCACCCACGGCTTCTGAAGGGAAGATTAATTATACTGTTTGGAATTTTTTTTTTCCTTAGTTCTAGGCCAGGGGTAGGCCACCTTGGCTCTTTTATGACTGGTGGACTTCAACTGCCAGAATTCCTGAGCCAGCCACGCTGAGGGGAAAGGGAGAGGTTTCCAAGCTGAGCCATGGCGGCTCAGGAATTCTGGGAGTTGAAGTCCACCAGTCATAAAAGGGCCAAGTTTGAAGACCCCTGCTCTAAATGGGCCTTATTGTAGACCTAATGGCTGCACAAACTAGGCCAGGGGTAGGCAACCTTGGCTCTTTTATGACTGGTGGACTTCAACTCCCAGAATTCCTGAGCCAGCATGGGGGAACTATGGCCCCCTTCATGACTTGTGGACTTCAACTCCCAGAATTCCTGAGCCAGCCACGCTGAGGGGAAAGGGAGAGGTTTCCAAGCTCAGCCATGGCGGCTCAGAAATTCTGGGAGTTGAAGTCCACCGGTCATCAAAGAGCCAAGGTTGCCTACCCCCGGTCTAGGTCTTCTCCTTGATTCTCCAGAGAAGTGAACAATCAAAAGCCATACCTGCTTCTCCTGGGCCAAACGTTGGACCAGATCTGGGATTGTGGTTTGATGTCCTCCCCAGCCACACTGGACTCTTGTCCATCTTCTGCTCAGTTGGATCCCGATGCCTGCATGCTTTCGGCAAAGCCCCGGCAAGTTCCGTTGGCAGGGATTTTTTTCTCTTTCCCTCTCCTCGTGGTGGGAGCTGTTTTAGCGCTGCAAAGATGCCGGGGAAGGGGAGTTTGGGTCTCCATGGCAACGGGTCACATTCTGCTGACTTTGGCTTCCTGTCGCTCTCTCGAAGTATCCGTCAGCCACTGAGTTTGGGTTTCAGGGCCAGGAAATTGCAAGCCCATCCACTACCTCGAAAAGAGAGGCAGCCCAGGGTTGACCTTTTGGGACAAAACATGGATTGGTCAAAAGTCCTCTCTCTAAATCAGGGGTCTTCAAACCTGGCCCTCTTATGACTGGTGGACTTCAACTCCCAGAATTCCTCAGCCAGCGTGCCTGGCTGAGGAATTCTGGGAGTTGAAGTCCACAAGCAGGGGGGTCTTCAAACCTGGCTTTTTTATGACTGGTGGACTTCAACTCCCAGAATTCCTCGGCCACGCTGAGGAATTCTGGAGTTGAAGTCCGCCAGTCATAAAAGGGCCAAGTTTGAAGACCCCTGTGCTCTAAATGGGCCTTATTGTAGACCTAGTGGCTGCACAGACTAGGCCAGGGGTAGGCAACCTTGGCTCTTTTATGACTGGTGGACTTCAACTCCCAGAATTCCTGAGCCAGCCACGCTGAGGGGAAAGGGAGAGGTTTGCAAGCTGAGCCAGGCTGGCTCAGGAATTCTGGGAGTTGAAGTCCACCAGTCCTAAAAGAGCCAAGGTTGCCTACCCCTGGACTAGGCTACGGATGGTTCATTTCTGCTTGGGTTATTTTTATTTGTGGCTTAGCCTGATGGATGGACCCAGTTCGTTTGATTCATCTAAAATTCCGAATATTGGGTCGACCCAGGAAATAGGGGTTAGGTGTATAGAACCAGGCAAAGCTTGTTCCGGATAGGTTAATTAAAACCGTCCCCACCTCCTCCCAGAACTTTACAATTTACTTTAAAGCTGAGGATTAATTCCGACATAGAAGAAGATACATTATAAGCCCGTGTATTTAGCCATTAGATTAATGCAATGGAATAATATTAAGATGTCATTAACAATTTGATTTTCTTCCTCACTCGCTCCTCTGCTCCCTTTGCGTGTCCCTCCCTCGGCTCCACGGTAGTTCTGCACCCCTTTTTTTGAACTGACTGTGACTCAGACCTTCTCTGTGATTTTCTCAGATTTAGGAGGCAGTATGTTCAAGAAAAAACGTCCAATGAAAATGACCACGGGGGGAGAAGCTAAGAGTTCAAGTCCTGGAAAGCTGCATCCGGGGAGCATTCACATGCAGCCCTCTCAGGACGAGAGGCCACGAAGCCGTTTTTGCGGGGATCTGCCTCTTCTCCTTCCTATCCGGTATGTAAACGTTGATTTTTCTGGAAATGCCATCTCTGCTTGCAAAGCTCTCCAAGGATGGTCCCAGAATGGGAAATGTTGACTTGGATTGGGGGTTTTTTTTAGGTCTCGCCCCACCCCATGCTCTCCCTTTTAACCTTTGCAGATGTAACCTGGGAGAAGAATTGCCCCAGTGTTTGTATTCTGCAAAAAAAAAAAAAAGAGAGAGAGAGAGAGAGAAATGTAGCACGGGGATAATTGAGGGAGAAAGATTAAGAAGCCTCAATTAAAAAGGTTGCAAAGACAGGAGCCGATATATTGGAAAGGCGAAAGAGGTGGGCACTGGGGATTTAACAAAGGGGGTCCTTCATATCTGCAGCTGGAAGGCTCTTTATCCCCACTAGATAGCTGGGAAGACAGGCAAAAGAAGAAACCCTGTTAAAGAAACTGATAAAGGAAGAGCCATGTGCAATTCCAGCAGCCAATGACTGGCTTGGCCTCCATCATCCATTCCTCCATCCATCAAATCCATCCATTTTATCCACCTCCCTCCCTACCTTTGGATGACGACACCACGATGGACTCACAAAGAAACCACAAAGCCACAAAGAAGAGGGGATCCAATTATTCTCCAAAGCACCTGAAGGCAGGAGAAGAAGCAAAGGATGGAAACTAACCAAGGAGAGAAGCAACCTGGAATTAAAGAGAAACTTCCTGACAGTCAGAACAATTAATCAGTGGAACGACTTGCCTCCAGAAGTGGTGGGTTGCTCCAACACTGGAAGGTTTCAAGAAGAGGTTGGGCAGTCACTTGTCAGAAATGGTATCGGGTCTCCTGCTTGAGCTGGAAGGGGTCTTCAAACTTGACCTTTTTTTGACTTGTGGACTTCAACTCCCAGAACTCCTCAGCCAGCCTCCATTTTGTTTGTTAGATTTAAGGCAGGGGTCTTCCGACTTGGCCCTTTGATGACTTGTGGACTTCAACTCCCAGAATTCCTCAGCCAGCGTGCCTGGCTGAGGAATTCTGGGAGCTGAAGTCCACAAGTCATAAAAAGGTCAAGTTTGAAGACCCCTGGACTAGAAGACCTTCAAGGTCCCTTCCGATCCTGTTAGTCTGTTATTCTGAATCTGAATCGCCTCTCTTTTAGTTCACTTCCAATTGGCCGGTTTACTTGCTAGATCAAGGATTTGATGGTGGCATCTCAGCATGGAATCTCCAGAGCTTGGGAAGCCCCACCACCAGGAGAGGTTTTCAGAAGGAAGTCAACAAAACCTTGCATCCTGTTTTCGCTTTACCTTGGAAAGATTTAACCTTGATAGCAAGGACCCATCGGGCAGTTGATAACGCAGAAGACATCAGCATGTGGTGGAAGAGATGGAGAGAAAGACAACGTGGATGATGGCGCTTCTCCAGCTTGGTCCCTGGTGGGAAAGAAGTTCAAGATGCTCTGCTATTTCGACATCAAATCCGTGCCGTCAAGCACCACACATTCACAGCCACACCTGTGGCCTCTTGGATCAACCATTTGGGCAGAGGAGACATGTACCAGCTGAGGTCTCTGGGTGGAGACCAGCTCTGCTTCCTTGTGAGATGCTTGCCAAAGACGGCTGAGAGATTTCAGTCTTCAGCTGGGGTTTTATCTTCAAAGCAACTCGGTCAACTTGGCTGGCCCTTCCAGCAATCAGGACATCGAAAGAGTGCTTGAGAAAGATGGAGACATCTAGCACAGCGGCCTCCCAACCTTTTGGACACCAGGAACCGGTTCCGTGGAGAGAGAATTTTCTCACGGACTGGATGGGGCATGATTTCACATGCTGCCCACATCCGGCAGATGGGATTTCCGATGCCGGTCCACGGACCAGGGGTTGGGGAGCCCTGTTCTAGAGGAATAACAGGGCAGGGGGGGGGGCAGCCATTGGCTTCCCAGCAAGACACACAACTTGGAAGATTGTATTATTTCTGCTTTATGCATTCTAGGCTGTCCTTTTTCCCTTCTTCAAAGGGGACAGAGTACCCTTTTCTCTTGGGGGTTTAAACGGTGGTGATCTTGATTCCTTCCCTTCGTTTAAAATTTGCGCAGGGTCTCAATTTGCAAAAATTACAACAGACAATCGGCCGGGTCACCTTATTTCTCCCGTGCCTGCCACCCCTATCTCCAACCCCACCCCCCACCCCACCCCACACACAAGCACACACACACACCCTCCCTTTGGCAGCGCTTCAGCCTGCTGCAGTTTGCTCAGCCCTGTTTGTGGAACACGTCTCGGTTGGCTGGCTCAGCAACCGGCTGTATTTTGCCGTGGTTTAATTTCAGCCGATTGTCAGTTCTTTTTTTTCTTCTTCTTCTCCTCTCTCTCTCTTTCTTTTTTTTTAAACATTACAGTTTTATATCCACGCCGAGCGATTTAATAGACTGATGAAAGGTCTGGTAGAAGCCATCTGTGAAGTCAGATCTTTCTCTCTTTTGATCTGCCGTAAAAACAGTTTGCATCATTTCGAAAACCTTTGGCTTAGCTTCTCCCCATTCTTAGGGTGTTGTGGTTTTTTTCCTCTTCCCCCACGCAGTTGCCTCCTTAACGTTCATTCTCCCAGTCGTTCCCTCTCCCTCCGTCTCCAACCTGACACATTCTACAAGATGTTCCCTGCCTTCATCTTGCTTACCTAAACATCTGAGGCCAGTCAGATGTTTAGGCTTTATTATTGTTGTTAGGGTTTTGCACTGCCGACACACAAAAATGACATTTTGCGCCTGTTTTGCTCCTAAGTTGAAATTCACACCTGGGAACGAAAGAGCAGCTTGCGTTCTCTAAGCCTGCTAAAGCTTAACGGTGATTTTTATTCATTTACTTTTTAAAAAAAAACAAAACAAAACAATATTTTATTAATTTTCCAATTTTACATTTGAGTATTTGAAAAGCAACGTGGTGACTGGCTTAATCAATAGTTCAATAACAAAATCTTTAGTGCAAATCTCCGGTTACAACATCAGATATTTCTTCTCTTTTTCCCCCGTTAACATTCACTGTCTCGGATTCAAGCTAGAACTTTTCTAATTATATCAACTCAACAAAAACATCATTGCCACATTTATCAATACGTTTTTAGCTTATACATATCTGAATTACATTCAATCTTCATACGCAATCCATATCCTGTTATTAATTTTTACGTAATTTTTAACTTCTCATCAATATTCCAATTTAAGCTTTGATATCCATAATTTTCAGACTTTGGGTAACCAGGATTTCCCTTATCTCACTTCATAATAAACTATAATACATTTACTTATTTTTTTTAAAGGGAATCCTGATAATTTCTTTAATTCCAGGAAGGCTTGCAGACAAGCTAACTGTCATGGTCAAGGGACGCAGCCAAGGTAAATGCAACCAGCCCCAAACTTTGTATTTCCCCATCTCTGATAAGCTAAGCTGCGATGCTGAGGATAAACCAGAGATTGGTGGTCATGCACCAATTTCTCTCCAGACATTCCTGGGTTCATTCCCCAACTTAAAGCTGTCTGAAGCCGCTGCTTGTCATCAATTGAGGTCCCACACTATGCTACGTCATGCTTTGCTGAGGATGCTACAAAGGCTGGTTCACATAAAATGCTAATCCAGGGGGTCTTCAAACTTGGCCCTTTGATGACTTGTGGACTTCAACTCCCAGAATTCCTCAGCCAGGCACATGTGCCTGGCTGAGGAATTCTGGGAGTTGAAGTCCACAAGTCATCAAAGGGCCAAGTTTGAAGACCCCTGTGCTAATCCCTAAATCTTAATTTGCAGACCATAGTCACTTAGCCAAAAGCACATAAGTTATCTTTACAAACTAGATTGCCTCCAACCGATTCACGTAGTCCTCAACGTACGATCACAACCGAGCCCACATTTTCTGCTGTTAAGTGAGTTTTGCCCCATTTTACAACTTTTTTTTCTGGTCACGGTTCTTTAGCGAATCACTGCAGTTGATAACTTAGTAACCCGGTTGTTAAACGAAGCTGACTTCCCCGCTTGACTTTGTATGTGAGAAGGTCGCAAAAGGGGATTGCGTGACCATGGGATACTGCAACGGTCATAAATAGGGAACAACGTGCCAAGCACCTGAATTTTGAGATCACACGATCACAGGGATGCTCCGAAGATTGCAACTGTGAAAAACGGTCCTATTTCAGTACCGTTGTCATGGTTCCGAGAGATGAAACTCTTTCAAAGAACTTTGAGGCATTGTTTACTTTAAAGAATCTTTATTTGAATAGCATAGCATCGGCACTAATACAGTCGAAGCCAAAAACTGGATTCCCCTCCCCTGAGCACATAGTATCAAAGCACAATTCCCTCCTCCAGTTAACAGTCATAAATCACATTCCCCAGTTAGCTTGAAAGGCAGGCTTCCTCTCCAGCTCTCCAGCCCGGCCAATTCTTATCATCTCTTATTTCAATAACCTTGGTTCTCACGCTAGGTCCAGTGTTATTATGTCTAGCTAACTTCTCGCGCACATTCCCCTCCCTTCCCAGCATCATCTAAATCTCAAAGCAAGAAGAAGAAAATGCCTGCATCTCCATCTGTTGTCAATGCAAAAACATCCCATGTTAGCAGCGTTGACATCCGTTGCAACTTTAAACGGTCACTAAATGAATTGTTGTAAATCAAGGGCTACCTGCAATCTAAACCATGTGGTGCAAAAGGAAAGGGGGATGAGGAGGGCAACTTATTTTATGCCATTTTGGCTGGGCCTGTGTCTTCTCCATCTCGATTAGATGAAGGTTAGATAAACCGAATCCTTTTGAACATTCCTAGTAGCTCTGCAGAAGGCTATAGACTTAGGATAGAAATGGAGGATTATTTAAAAAAAAAATAATTCGTGCTGTTTTCACGAAATATCGATCCATTTTGCTCGGTCGCTGGGAGGAATGAACTTGAGAATTCCTGCATGCAAAACCTGGGGTTGTTTGTCGAATTGTGACTTTGCCTCCACTCCAGATAGAAAGATTTCTTTTTATTTATTTTTTTCAAAGACAGGCTGGAAGTCACGGACTTGGCATAAAAATATCACCTCTGCTGTTGGCACCGGTACAATTTATCTCTTCCTGTTACAACTCCTGCCTTTTAAAAACATTTTTTCCCCCTCTGCTGTGCTGTCTAATATTCAGAGGAATTGAACCGGGATATAAAAATGTTTAATTTGCAGTTCACTCCTCAGCGTTATCTCTCCGGTTGTGCTTTTCTTAGCGAAATTGGGCCGAAAGACCTGGTCTCCTTCTGAGAGAGCTGAGCTTTCCAATTGCCTTCCTTTTGCTTTCTTCTGCAGAGTTTTTATGTCTATTCCGTTTGCCAAAAAATGCTTTCTTATTCAGCGGGAGACAGAAAGGAAACTAAAAAAACAAGTTTTGTTTTGTTTTTTTTAAAAAAAAACATAAAAAGCAAGTGCAGCTTGTTTGCGGCTCTCCCGTTTTTTGTGCAATTTGATTAAAAAAAATTAAAATCTTCACACAAGAATAATGGTGTGCGTGTGTGTTTGTGCGTGAAAGGTAGGAAAATAGTCATTGATTATGAGGATAAAATGAATTCAGCCATCAGAATCTGCCCTTTTCGTCTTCCCTTCGTATGAGCCGATAGGAAACGATGGCCTAAAATTAATAAAACGTGTTTGATCGCTAATTAATACAACTAATTACATTTTAACTACATTTTTAGAAAATCCCATGGGGTTTTTTTGCCTGCTTTTCACAGAAGAAGCAGTAAAAGAAACGAAAAACGTTGATAAGCTGGATTTATTACAGCTTGGCCATTATTCCTCAGACACTATCTAGTCAATGTTATTAAATGTTAGATTCCGCTACATATATTTATCCCGCGTTATCTGGCCTTTCTCTTTAAAAGGAAAGAGATGAGGTGGGAGATGGGAGGGAGCCCCCTCCGCCTTTGCTGAAACGCAAAGATAGAGAATACATTCATTTGCGCTGAATAATTGGTTACTTAAACCCTGGGAAATTCATTAATCAGGAATCTTGGGTTAGACAATGGTCCACTGCAAAATCCTTCTGCTGGGTTTTCTTTATTCATTTAAACATGGACACAATATTCTCTGCGCTGCCCACTTCAGAGGCTCCGCGCGGGGTCTTCCTTGCTTCCCCATCCATTCCTGTAAGGGCATTGCACTTTAATGTTCCCCCGAGTATTAAAATTCCAAGTCAATATCAATTCTGCCGTTCCATTTACTCGGGCGCTCCTTATTCTTCCGGGGGGCTTGATGGAGTCCAATTTACAGCTGACATGTTTGCCTCCGATGAGAACCGGTTGAAGGACAGACGCGCCTTGTCATCCATTGGGTCCTGGAGGCTCTGATTAAAGTGAACTAAGCACCCTCGCGGTCTGTCAAAAGGATATTAATTTCGCATTTCATTGCCCTGTCTTGCAAATTTATGCCTGCCCTGGAAAAACAAGTTTCCACCTTCCCCTGATTTTAGTAGTCCGCAGACCCCGGGAACGTCTTTCATCTTAAATGCCATGTCGGAGGAGATGGGAATAGATGTTCTCTCTTGCACATACCTGTGGCCTGGAATGGTAAATCCCGTTTCACCGGCTCCTTATATATCACGCCAGGCCTTTCATCACTTTAATGCCTCATTTGCAGTATTCAGGAGTGGGGGGCATGTAGAGAAAAAAGCAGCATTTTTCCGCGTATTTTTTCTGTCAGCACCATGGACAGTGCCAGCATGAGTTGGTTCCTGGTGGGCCTTCTTGATTTTGGGGGGAAAGGTATTTTCACCCACCCTGCCACCTCCCAGTAGAAAAACTGAAGACCAGCTCTTCAAGTATCTGTGCTGGGATGGGGCTGGGTGAGGGGATGCAGTGGAGAAAGGCTTGAGTTCAAATCTCAAGTACTGCAGCTGCCAAAGAGGCCAACACAGTGCTAGGCTGCGTTAACAGAGGGATAGAATCAAGATCATGTGAAGTGTTAATACCACTTTATAAGGCCTTGGTAAGGCCACACTTGGAATCCTGCATCCAGTTTTGGTCACCACGATGTAAAAAAGATGTTGAGACTCTAGAAAGAGTACAGAGAAGAGCAACAAAGATGATCAGGGGACTGGAGGTTAAAGCATATAAGGAACGGCTGCTGGAATTGGGTATGTCTAGTTTAATGAAGAGAAGGATGAGGGGGGATATGATAGCAGTCTTCCAATATCTCAGGGGCTGCCCCAAAGAAGAGGGAGTCAAGCTATTCTGCAAAGAGCCTGAAGGCAGGACAAGAAGCAATGGATGGAAACTCATCCAGGAGAGAAGCAACCTAGAATTAAGGAGAAACTTCCAGACAGTGAGAACAATTAACCAGTGGAACAACCTGCCTCCAGAAGTGGTGAATGCTCCAACACTGGAAGTTTTTAAGAAGAGACTGGACAGCCATTTGTCCAAAATGGCATAAGGTTTCCTGCCTGAGCAGGGGGTTGGACTAGATGACCTCCAAGGTCCCTTCCAACTTTATTATTATTATTATTATTATTATTATTATTATTATTATTTTGGATCATCGCACAGTCAGCCAGATGTTCAGACTGGATTTGGCATTTTGTCTACCTATCAAGTCCTTACCCAGGACCTGGGATAGGCAGATGTGGATGTTTGATGGTATTACAGGTATCGTCGCAGGATGGAAGCAGTTCCTAGTAAGGCTGCCTTTTGCAATTGACTAATAGCGAATTTGTCAGTGCCGATGATGGTGTTCAAGTGGTGCTCCAGTTGTTTTGGGATTGCACCCAAGGAGCCTATTACTATTGGTACTACCCTTGCTTGCTTTTGCCACAGTCTTTCTATTGCTATTTGTAGGTCTTTGTATTTTGTTATCTTCTCCAGTTCTTTCTCTTCTATTCTGCTATCTCCAGGCACTGCCACGTCCACTATCCAGACTTTTTTGTCTTTCTTATCGACAATTGTTAAATCTGGGGTGTTATGTTGCAGGTGCTTGTCTGTTTGAATTCTGAAGTCCCAGAGCAATTTCATTTTATTATTATTATTATTATTATTATTATTATTATTATTATTATTATTAAATCTAATCATGGAGGGAAGCAACCTAGAATTAAGGAAAAATGTCCTAATTAACCAGTGGAACAGCTTGCCTCCATAAGTTGTGGGTGCTCCATCACCGGAGGCTTTTAAGGAGAGACTGCACAGCCATTTGTCTGGAATAGAACAGGGTCTCCTGCTTGAGCAGCGGGTCGGACTAGATGACCTCCAAGGTCCCTTCCAACTCTGTTACTCAGTTAAAACAGCCCTTGATGCTGGACTACGTTTTCTTTTCATTCCTCAGGTCTGGCACTGGGGTGACACTCAACGTTGGCCCATCGGGAACCATCTCCAAAAGCCCAGCAGGGTAATGCGGTTTCTGCCATTGCGCCCAGCACGATAACGCCGTAAGTTTTTCAGCCTTTTGACAACCACAGCATCCCACACTCGTCTCTGATCTTTTTTTATTTTTCCCTTTCCTCTTTAGCTGAGTTCACACATTGCCATAAGCCGAGAAAGTGACAGTTGAGCAGATTCTCCTCCCCTCTCCCCCATCACAGCTTTCCTTGTTCTTCATTTCATTTCAGAAATGGAAGGGGGGGGGGGAAGGAAAGAAAAAAAACAACCCCAGCGTTTTGCATTCACTCTGTGTATTCCGGAGAAGCAGAGTTAATTTTGTAGCTCCAGCAGCAATTCCCTCTCTCTTTGCCTTCTTTTATAGTTAGGAGCCTGGCTGTAATTCATTCCCCCGGAGCACTGTAGCCATCAATCAAAAGGTTGACAGCTAATATGTCACTGATAGACGGGACGGTGTCTTCAGGGTGGAGGGGACGCCCGTGAACCAGCCTTAGTGGTTTTCTCCCCACCCCGTCTTTAATTCCGAGGCAGATGATAAAAAACAAAGACACGTTCATCCAGGAAAGGAGGGGGGAAAAACACATACACTCTCTCTTTTCTCTGAGCCTGTTGAGCATTCTGTGCTGTAAAGGTAGCTGACAAAGAGAGATTCTTTTCATCCTCTAAATCCAGGCCTGGCTTCATTGGAAAAATCCCTTCCAGCTCCTGGGATGTTTCACAGATCAAAAATAACATATCCCCCCCCCCTCCCACTTACTCCCTTCTGGTTTCTGCTCGTCTTGCGTGGGCAAGCTGATATTTTTAAATTCACCTGCCTGTGAGATTTAGCAGCTTGTAATTGTGGAGATGTTGCCGGGCAGCCCTAATGCAAACAGAATATTGAGCAAATAAGGTAAAAATAGTCGGCACCAAAACGCCGTCTGAGCCCAACGGTTTAGCACTGCAACCCAACGAGGCAGACACGGACTTCAACGGACAGTTAGGCCTGCAGAGAAAACAGTTGCTACCCGCCTGCCTTCCACTGAGGACCTGTATGCTTCCTAAGCCAGAAAGAGAGCTGGGAAAATATCCACAGACCCCCTCCTCACATCCAGGTTGTAAAGTGCTTCAACTTCTCCCTTCAAGACGATGCTACAGGGCGTTGCACGCCAAAACAACTAGACACAAGGACAGTTCCCGCCTCCCATGCCATCGCTCTGCTAAACAGCTAATTCCCACAACTACCTAATAGGGCTCTATTACTATTGTCCTTCTCATCCTTCCTACTACCTATTCCTTATCTTCTTATGACTATAACTTTGTTGCTTGTATCTTATGGCTGATATGAATTGTTTTATTTAGTATCCTAGTATGATTTCTGCCGATTGCTTCTTTAGTATCTTATGACCATCACTGAGTCTTATATCTTATGGTTTATGATTCTATTCTATTCTATTCTATTCTATTCTATTCTATTCTATTCTGTTATTCTTTTCTATTATCTAATTCTATTCTATTCTATTATCTAATTCTATTCTATTCTATTATTCTATTCTATTACATAATTCTATTCTATTCTGTTCTGCATTCTATTCTAATTCTATTCTGTTCTATTCTATTCTATTCTATTCTATTCTATTCTATTATTCTGTTCTATTATCTAATTCTATTCTATTCTATTCTATTATTCTATTCTATTATCTGATTCTATTCTATTCTGCATTCTGTTCTAATTCTATTCTATTCTGCATTCTGTTCTAATTCTATTCTGCATTTTATTCTAATTCTATTCTATTCTATTATCTAATTCTATTCTATTCTATTCTGCATTCTATTTTATTCTGCATTCTATTCTAACTCTAACTCTAACTCTAATTCATTCTGTTGGGTTGCCAGAAGCAGGATAATATGTGGCTTAACTTTCAGGAACCAGAGCAGGCAGTCAGCCAAGATACTTGATTCAGTTTGTGATTTATAAGTCATGGGCAACTGTGAAATTTCCTCTGCCTGCCCTGAAGGACTTTACAGGTTAGAAGGAGACGTTCATTTTTAGCTTTTTCCTTTTCCGAAGTGATAACAAACACCAGAACCTCCGTAGTTTGCTATAGAAACAGACCTTGCCTTTGCAGTTCTGCCTAATAAAAACTCGGCCTAGCTCGACCCCAGCTAAAGCTTTGGCTGTTTTGCATTACGTGGGTTTGAAACCCAAAGAAGTAGTTGCATGGGTGTCTTTAAGGGCACCCTCTCTTTGCGACTTGACGGGGTCTAGGGCAGGCTGTTTTTATATGGCGCCGCCTTAATTTGAATGCATTTCACCCTTTGGTAGGTTTAAACAGATCTCTTTCTGACATGCTTACAAGTACACCGTGGTGTTGGGGTGCTGTCTGGAGGAATCTCTGTTGCCATGACGTTCAATTCAGTTTTTTCATCTCGTGTAGCAAACTAGCCTTCCCCCACCGAGTGCCCTCAGGACATGCTGAAAAACACACCCCAACATTTTTAACCAGTGTGGTTAAGAATCAGGAGAGATGTGAATAAATTGGGAGGGTAGCCCAAACGTTTGGCAGTTCACCAGCAGGACCTGACGAGGCTTCTTGGATGAGAAGCGAAACATCTTCAAAGGGAAAGAAAGGAAGTCCAGTTGCTTTTTGAAAAAGTACCTTTGAGATATCTAGAATTATCATCTATTTGAATTCTATTCTATTCTATTCTGCATTCTATTCCATTCTGCATTCTATTCTATTTTATTCTATTCTGCATTCTATTCTATTCTATTCTGCATTCTATTCTATTCTATTCTGCATTCTATTCTATTCTATTCTATTCTATTCTATTCTATTCTCTTTCCATATTCTATTCTATTCTGTTCTGTTCTGTTCTGTTCTGCATTCTATTCTATTTCTTTCCCTATTCTATTCCTATTCTATTCTATTATCTTTCCATATTTTATTCTATTCTGTTCTGTTCTGTTCTGCATTCTATTCTATTCTGCATTCTGTTCTATTCTGCATTCTATTCTATTCTGCATTCTGTTCTATTCTATTCTATTCTATTCTATTCTGTTCCTATTCTATTCTATTCTATTTCTTTCCCTATTCTATTCTATTCTGTTCTGTTCTGCATTCTATTGTATTCTGCATTCTATTCCATTCTGCATTCTATTCTATTCTATTCTATTCTATTCTATTCTATTCTATTCTATTCTATTCTTATTTTTAAAAATCTAGTGTTCCTCTCTCCACATTCTGCCTAGCCAGGTGCGTTGGGGGAGAGACCAATGCAGGTAACAGCAGCCCAAAACGACAACTTTTGAAAGTGGGAGCATCTCTCCTTATTTCTCGTTTCTTCCTCGGCCCTTTCAATAGCCAGCCTCAGAGATTTAATTATGGCCAGCAAAGGAGTCACTGGAGCACAAGAGAGAGATTACAAAGCAGTCTCTTGGCTTCTATGAACAGGCTCGTTCTTCTTTCATTCACCCCCAGAGCTTCTTTTCAGTGGGAAGGGTGGGCCAAGGAACTAAACCGTGGTTGGCAGTGGACTCTCTTTCAACTGATCCTGAAAGATAATCACACTTCACCAGACTTCCCTAAAGGTTTTCTAAAGAATTGTTCCTCCATTGCAGCCATTCCAATGATTAAATGCTTCCTGAAGTTTTGCTGCACTGGGGATGCCTGTGGAAAAACCAACATTTTGCGTTTTGAACGTTGTTTGCTTGAGAGCAAGGGCCGAAGGCTCCAGTTCTGAGGAGCACTCCAGCGATTCCCCCTTTGCGGTTGAATTATCCTTCTATCCTCGGTGGGATTCGTGCCTTAAAACGCTATGTCGCTTCGTCTGTTGAAATGCATGTCCAAATATAGAAATGCTATCACACTGGGGAAGCATATATGCTGAGATTAGATATTTTTTTAAAGGAAGTGTCACCTGGATATTTATATTTCTCCACCGAGCTTTGTGTTTCTCCAAACAAGATGTCTTTTTGCAACATTTAACTCTGCATCTCATCTTGAGTCTTTCTAATTGGAGGGCTTTGTATACCATGTGTGCCTGGCTGAGGAATTCTGGGAGTTGAAGCCCACAAGTCGTAAAAGGGCCAAGTTGGAAGACTCCTGACAATAGATCGTCCTTTCAACAGTTCCAAAAAGACTCCACACCCGTTTGCACTATTCAGATGACCCCGAGGACACAGGTAAACTTCCAAGTGGCCTCAACGACTCTCTCAAAGGATGCAAACGACCAGCTGTCTGCAAGGAGGATCAATCCTTCCATTTCCCCACCATCCAGTCAGAGCGGAAGAAGCTTCTCGGATGAGAAGAGAAACGTCTTCGAAGAAAAAACAAGTCCAGTTGTCTCATGAAAAAACTCCGTTAAGAACACCCGTTTTAATTCTTCTTTATCGGTATTTGGCATCGGTAGAAAGGGCTGGGGGGGGGGCATTGCCAATCCCTTCCTTTAGCCCAGCGGTTCTCAACTTGTGGGTCGGGACCCCATTTGGGGTCGAACGACCATTTCACGGGGGTCGCCAAACAACGCAGTCCGCCATTTTTCCCCCCTTTTCCTTAGCTGTGCTACTCCCTTTTATTCTATTGGCTTTTGAAAGCCAATAGAATAGGCTCTCTTGGATAGAGTCTAATTCTATTGGCTTTCAAAAGCCAAAGGAATTGTCCAGGCTGTCTCTGCCCTGCTGAGCCCGCCAAAAGTCCCATTCTGCAAACGGGGCTGCACCAGTTGAGTAGTCCTCGACTTACGACAGGTTGAGTAGTCCTCGACTTACGACCGGTTGGGGGTCGCGGCATTAAAAAGATTGAGAACCACTGCTTTAGCCTGAATAACGTGGAACTTCACCTCCTTTTCCAAGAGTCCCATTCTCGGCGACTGAACGAGCCGAAGCCGGCTCAGAGCGAAGGGCCAGAGAAAATGTCTTGTAATCCTCGCTGAGCTTTTAAGATAGGACCGAATTTAAAATCTAAATGGCAAATAATGTAATAACTGCCCTTTCTAACATAATCTCACCCGTTCTCATCTAAATCCTTCCAGCCCTCTCATCTCTCTCTCCCGGCTTCCTTTGAAACTG